CGATTAGTTATTAAGGAAACTATAGGTCTGTAGTGATGTAAAATTATCAATATTTTCAAATTAGTTTGTATATGTATGACCGTTTGTTCCCAATAAATAAATATAAAGGAGATTGCTCAAATTGGCCTAAATGCACAAAAAATATTGATATACACGGTAATTCTTGGCGTAATTTATAATTTAATTTACAGTCATTAGATTTCAACGGACACCTTTGTATAATATATTTACTTTAAAAAGGACTTTTAATTTTACCGGTTTGGAAAACATACGAATCATTTTTAATGGCTATGGGTGTAGTAACATTCAGCCAAAGACTGATCGAAGTTGTTTATATAACATAAAAACAAATCTATTTTGTAAAGATCGATAAAATAAATCATTTTTTTATTACACTGTGGTATTAATATCCACAACTATGTTATCATTTTCAATAGATGCAAATGTGCTCAGACAATTATTATAGATGGTAGGCGACATCATAAAGTCTATTGCCATACATTTTTCGCCAAACACCTCCATAAACACATTATAATCTGTTTATATGTTAGACTTTAAGGTTAATCTATCTATGGGCCTACGTTCCCTGACTATAAATTAATAAAATTACAAGGTGTGATACACTAAAAATCTAAAACATGGTTATCTTAAAAACATAAAAAAAATAATGAAGCTACTGAATAATATGGCTATAGAACCTAAATCTCTTAGCTTTCTTTGGTTAACGAGAGTTTAAAAATTCTCTCTAATCTGTGGCTCATTCACAATCATCACACAGTTTCTGTCACACAGTACTTTATTATAACCGGAAATGACACCTGATTTTAAAAGTTACTCTTATGCATTAACTTTAAAAACAGGCAACTATCTGTTAATGTACATGCTCTATATAACTGAATCTAATCCATAATTTCGGTACTTGGCTTGATTTCCCTAGTTTACTATATAACTTATTTGTTTTTTATTATTTTAATATGTTCAGTGTATATGGTTTATAGAAGTTCTCAGGGGTGTCCGTCAATAATATTCGTTTCTACAGTAATTTATATATAATTTCGAATGTAGGAAACAATTTTTCATGATTATTGGTCTTTAGGCCAAACATGTATGGAAGCTGAGCAATCTCCTTTACTAAATAACTGATAATGTATTTAAATTTTCATAAGAAATAATCATTTGTGATGTGCCGTTCCCGGGAATAGTAGTAATCCACTGGTTATAAACAATATTTCCAAGGATTCCAATGTCTTCGGCCACATTTACAATATTCTCTGAATTATCCGTAAAATTAGTAAATTACAGTTAAATTAAATATTTCCAGCGGCTCAAAAAAATTTCTTGAAGAGCTCGATGGCGCGGGTGGTTAGCGCGTTCGACTGAATCGTTGAAGTTAAGCAACTTTCGCAGTGGTCGGTCATTGGATGGGTGACCAAAAATATTCTGTCTTGAGCTCTCCGTGCTTCGGAAGGCACGTTAAGCCGTTAGTCCCGGTTGCATCTGCAGTCGTTAGCACCCGCCAATCCGCACTGGGCCCGCGTGGTGGGTCATGGCCCAATCTCCCTATTCCATCCATAGGGAAGGCTTGTGCCCCAGCAGTGGGGACATTACTAGGCTGATGATGATGATGATGATGATGACGTCACCATTAATAATACGTCATGTGTGCTTCATCTGTTCGAAATAAAAAAATATCTTATTATTTATATTCTAAAAATTACGAATTTTGTAGTAAGCTTTTGAAGATAATGCAGCTAACTGAAGCGGATATCCCAGTTTTCGTCTATATTGATTTGCTTCCAACGGTTTCTGGTACAATAAAAACCTTAACTTATCTTTACGTTATAAATTTAATTTTTAAGCATGTAACTGCTTGATGTTTAAATATAAAGAAAATATAACTAGAAAAAAATCCACACGGACCAGGCAGCAGATGGGACTCGAACCTGCACCCTTCGCTCTCCGAGCGAATGCACTGACCAATTATGCTACCGCGGCCCTGATGGCCGCGTCGAAATTCCTTTAGCCATTCTTAAGCTGCAAGGCAGCGCCATTTCTTCACATTGTAGGTAACCCACAATGTCAAATGAATACTTTTACAAGTATTAAGCATTTGAAAGAAGAAATAGCGAAGGGTGCGGGTTCGAGTCCCGTCTGCTGCCTTACCTTTAATTTGTTTGTATACTGCGTCAAAAAATATATTTTTTCATTAATAGACTAACGGACCGTCCCGGCTTCACACGGGTGTGTTAAATACTATGGAAACATCCAGCTGCGAGCTGGTAGCTCGCACGTACTGCCCCAGGCGGAGCGTTGTAACATATCGGCGGGGTATTTGCCCGGAGTAATGTAGTTATCTCCGCTAGATTTGCATGTAATTATTGCGAATTCTTGCTAATTTGCTACAACATGGCTCACGATTGTTAAGCGGTTCTTCTGTTATGAATTTCCAAAAATATTCCTAACTTAGTGTGTCTAAAATTATTTCTGGACAGTATAAAGGACTGTTTAAATCTTATATATCTAGGTCCAGCGGTTTTAGATTTGCGTTATGAGTCAACCAGCCATTCAATCAATATATTGGTTTAAGCTTTCATGGTCACTAACATTATAGTAATATTAGTTATTTAAGGGATTATTACCATGTACCTTGTTTTTAGTGAGTTTACGATATTTCGGCACTGCTGCAAGCGCCATGATCACGGAGTAACTGAAATAATTGCGGGTAGGCTGTTATTGGCAGACATATCAGTCCACCCTCCGACAAAGTCTTTTATTGCGTTCGATACCTGTACCTCTGTTCATATTCTCACTATTCACTCGAAACTGTCCTCGACACACAACACTTACAGTATCGGATCGCGACACGACACTTTTATGATTATTTCGGTTTTTACGGTAGTGGCGTTCTGTCGAGATAATCTGTGGGATATGGAACTTAATCCAGTGGTTAGGACCAGAATCAATCAAACGTTCCGCGATGGCTGGTTTCTATGTATCGTTGTTCTGATTGCTTTAATGTATTCCCTCATTCGGCATGCTACTGTTCGCTTTGTTTGGCCAATGTACGAACTGCCACAGCTGCAATTGATCTTATAGACACCAGGTTTATCCAAGGGGAAGTTGTCTTTAGGAGACCGTAGGTATTGTGAAATCTTTCGTAAAGGAGTGGAGACAGTGTTTAGTGAGTTCTTATTCAGTATGTTTGAGATCTTGTCAGTCACTCCTTTGGCATAAGGCAAATAAACGGGTTGTCTGTCTTCTCTGTGTCTCTGGTGTCTAAATTTGTGTCTGGATGGAAAGCGTCCCTTGTATCCATTACTCTGTAAGACTCATCGTACATGCTCCAACTCTTCTTGAAGATGTCCCTCATCACACTGGTCTTATGCACGGTTCGTCAGTGAAGTCACTACAGAGTTAAGATGTTGAGGGTGGTGATGCGAGGAGGCATTGAGATAGCGGTTTGAGATATGTATGTATTTATATTTTTTGTAAACAAGTTGTGATGTACGAGAGAACGAGGCATTCTAATACAGGTATATGTTTACCTAAAAGAGTGCTTCAATAACTTTTATGTTAATTTAAATTGGTTACAGAATAAATATATTTCATTTTCATTGAAATAGCGGTCAGTGTGTGTAGGTTAGTGGTAAATGGAATGACCAAGCGAACCCTCATTCCTCACCCGAATTAGTTGCCTTGAAAGATCTTCGTAAGAACAAGAACATAGTAGTACTAAAAGCTGATAAAGGGAATGCGGCAGTCATATTGAAAATCAGTGAGTATGAAAACAAAATCAGCTTCATCTGAAGCGATCATCTTCTGAGACAGAATGAGGAATGAGCGCTGCGTTAGTTTAAACTATTTCATAGCTTAAAAGTGATTATATACGCTTTATAAAAAAAGCTGTTGCCGTTGGTACTCGCGGTAGTTTTGTGGAACTAATGATATTTTATAGTGATTTTTAAATAGTTTTTTTAAATTTGGTTTTTCAATGCAAGGTTTTTCGCTACAATTACTTCATCTATGTCACTATTAACGTTCTCTTCTAAGGAATTTTCAATATGTATGAAATTTTCTTAATAAATAACATATGCACACAACAATGACGCAAAGTCTCTTAATATTTTTAAACATAAATTAAAGTTATGGCTCATTGACAGAACTTTTTATAGTGTCGATGAGTTTTTTAATGATAATTCCTTGCATTAATTACACTGATTAATATATTTTTCTATAATATTTACCGACAATTTTTTTAATCATAATTTTTTGGTTTTATTATTGTAATTTGTATGTGACATTAAACTTTATTTAAGTATAAATATTGTATTTTAATATAATTTGAAATTTATAGGAATCGAATTTTGACAATTTTTAATTCATTGAAAGTTAAGTGAATACATTTCTATTTCTATTCTAAAATTAATGATTGACGTATTATTTATTACGAAATAAATGATTGTGATTATGATTAACATTATGAAACTATAAGGGTTCCTTGTCAAGACTACGCAACCCTAAAAATACCGTATAGGGGGATACAATATTGGTGTTGATTCTAGCATAATTATCTAAATTTAAACTTAACTTAACTTAAACGGCAACAGTGTATCCTTGTCATTTTATATACATAATGAAAAGGAAAGACTGGTTTTAAAGATCGACACCAGTGTCTCACATAATACGTAATACTTAAAATCTGATACGTATTTTCTTACAGTCGGGCTTGGGCTTTTTCCCATAAAAAATAACATTCTCTTTGATTAGAGCGGCGCAAGTGGGCCCTAGTACAGTCCAAAATTGGATCTGCAGTGCTATTCTGTAAGAAAATTCTCACTTTTCACCTCGGAGTCTGCAGTGTTATTTAAAAATCACATAATAAAAAACCACACCGGCGAATTACGCGTTAAAAAAATGAGTTTGTTCTTACAGAACAACACTAGTGATTAGTAAAATTAGTGATTAATAAAACTTACCTACATGTTTTTTTTTCTTTATAGAGTTAGTAGGGGTGAATGGAATGACCCGACGTGGTACTAGCAGCAGCTGTATTAGCCGATTGCATAGAGCGCCCACGTGTTCCTCCTGCGCTTCCATCAGAAGGCCCACTGGGGGTACCAACGCGGTTCTACGAACGAGCGTACCAGTTCGAGCACTGTCAGTGAGGACTCATTTCAACTAAATATGGTTTAATTTCAGTCTAAATTATTTATTAGTTCAGTTCTGTCAGGTAATTTAAATCCATAATAGTATAGGCATAATCAATCCGAATAAGGTTATTAATTCAAAAAAAGTATTCAAGTATCTGATGTGAAATTATTTTAATTGAGTTATTGATTATGTTGACCGAAGTTTGTAATAAATAGGTACCTATAAAGTTGTTTAATTTATTTTGACAATGATATTATTCTAGTCATGATTTAGAACAAGTTTAGTAGGAAGACATTAATAGGTGCCTAAATTTTTTAACGTCATACTTTTTAACAGTAGTTTAAAAGGAATTTAAATTTATAGTAAATCAATCTATTGCTTGTTGTTGTATTTCGTTAAAATAATCTGTTAAAAAGATTAGATAGAGTTGTTATTAAATAATAAAGATTTTTTAAATGTAAATAATTAAATTTATGAGAATGGTATGCAACATAGTTATAAGTAGTTGTTTCAGTTTTGGTAATTATTTATTGTTCTTGATTTGATCAATTAATTCAATTGACTTAATTAAGTTCATGATGTTTACATAGATTATATCTACAATAGTTCACAAACAAAATTTAATCTTATGCAAAAACAAGATGTATGTGCTTCTGTGTCTATACCGGGTGTTACAGAGTTCCGAAATAAAATTTGTAGTAATCTCTCAAAAACTTAGATGTGACAACCATAAAACACAACAAACATAGATGAGGAGTTAACAGATGTGGCATATCATAAAAAGCTAAATTAAAATAAACATTTCCTTTTTCTATTATCATACATGACTATTAGCAAATTTGACAGTTCTAAGCCAAAATGTCTTTGATATAACGTCAAATTAGAAAGTCCGTAAGTTCTTTCCTACCTATTTCACGACGACAGGAATTGCGCTATAAATCTTTTGTATTTATTTATTAATGATTGATTAGACCACACAAAAATATCCAATAATTCTATGACGCTATCACTGCATAGGTTAATCCGGTGTCTAGTTTCCCATGAGGCTGCATATTGAGGCTTCACAATAACACCATACGATATAATACAATATCCATCTTGAGATGCTTGTAGAAACGTCTTAATATAAAAAGCTGCATGAGTAATAAGTAGTAGGTAATAATTTTCTTATAACAGCATATTTTAAAATCTAACTACTTTACTGGAATCAACTTGCACGACTTGTTCACTTGAATTAATAAGCTACCAATACAATGACTTCACGTACAAGAAAGGTCCTTAAATTAAATTATCTCTGAAATGCCGCGATTCGCTTTATCTCTCTTAAGTAAAATATGACGGTTCCGTGTTTTATTTTGCTCGATTGGCTAACAGTATGTGAAGATAATAATTACTGCACAGCTTTTATTGCATTTTTGAAAGTTTTTAACAAACTCCGAATCCGGATTTAACGGAACTGTGTATTATAAATAATAATAAAACAAGTAAATACAGTTTCATTCCATTCGTATAATCTTATAAACAACATAAACGCATAATAAGCTTGGATGTGTTACTACGTGTTTTTTTCTGTTCATTGAATAAAAATGGCATTTCAGTGATATGGACAGAACACGACGTAACTAGTCTAAGTTTATTCCTCGTTTATTAATAAAGTGATTAAGTGTTTATGGAAATTATATATTTTATAAAATAATCTTGGTATAAACGTACATAAAAAAACATAACTAGCCATAATGTCTTCTTATTTAAGAAAAACGATTTATTAACTAACGAAATATAAAAAATGTAGTAAGTAGGTCTACTTAAGATTTCTTTTGTTCCGGTGCGTGAGTCACATGTTTTTGTTACGCCTAACCCCTTCAGGCGATTCTAAGCAACTTTTTTAAAACGGAACCCTAAGTGTCGCCGCACACGGGCCACCGACCACAACCATAAAACGCCGCCACCGGCATATTTCTTGTAGTTTTCATACATTTTATATGGACTCGCCACACACGGTACGCCGGTGGTCGCCACACGCTATAAATCATCGTTGCTCGCTTCTTGTGGCTCGCACCGGCCACTTGATGCGCCGATACAAAACGCCGCCACACGTCACTTGCGCGATTCCCCACCCCTCTCTCCCTTACCTTAGTCGGCCGCTGTCGCGCGCTTCAGCCACTTTAGTAGCCGCTTCTAGCTTCTCGTGGCGGACTTTTGTGGCTGTGGCGTGTGGCCCGTGTGTCCACACGGTGTGTGTGTCACCGTACACGGGCCACACGCCACAGCCGTCCTTTGCATGTTGTTATTTTTTTCAACAATAAGGGAAGAAAATTGTTGCAGCATGCGAGCAGTCAAGGTGATGTGATAATAGTTACGTTGCGAATCAAAATGATCGTTCGTAGATAAACAGGGAATTTATGAAATGATTTAGTGTGGGTGTTGCTGATGGATATCTCAATCGTACTTGTGTACTTGTGAGCTGTATAGGGTGAGGTTCATCGATGGTAGGCCGTTTGCTGAACAGCGACGGCGCCCGGCCCGACATTCCACCTCTTTCGGGAAGTCCTAGGGATCCGGAGTTGGTGACTCGGTTTTTGGACCATTAGAAGAAATTTTTTAGTGTCAATAATTTGTTGATATGGCGGACATTGCCAAGTGATGGAAAAGATTCGACAATCACTTCAACAGGACCCAGACGACTTTTGTGTGTGTGGAATAAGACATTACATTTTTTACATTGAGTAACTACCTAAGCCTAACCTAGTGCAGGGATATTTTTGGTGTTAAACTTATGTTGTACTGTGGCGCGCTTTAGTGTCGTCTTTTGGAGAATTCTGATAATGCTTGACACCCCATTCCTCGAGTCGGTAAGTACGTACGTATGATAATTCCTGAATCTCATTCATGACGCGCGTGGTACACGACGAAACAAAAGCGCGGGGCGAAGGGGTTACTTACTGGGGAGGCGGGGCGTCTGTTTACGTAGTAGTTTATAGTACTCGTACGCATTTTTAAGGGTTGTCGTAGGCTGGTGCTAAAAAATATTCTTATTAATTTATTCAATGTATAAAAGTGGTCTGACAGACGTCAAACTTTCATAGGTAATTATTTATAAGGAACACAATAACACCCTTTACTTTTATTTTGGACTTTTGAAACACCCTGTATAATATATAATGTTGTATGTTAATAGCAATTTCAATCATTTAAATAGTTTCTAAATGCATGTTAAGTCAAGAATATATATTATAAATAAATATAATTACATTTTCATTGTTAAACTAATATAGGACGTTTGAAATTTTAATATTGTTTCTTTATTTTACAAGCCTAAATATTTCCAACTAATTAGCGCTAATATAGTACCCACTTACTTTTGATAAAATCAAATAACAATACTATTGACTCTTTCCACGATTTTTGCCATTTTATTATATAATTTAATTTATTTAAGTATATAAATGTTTGTCAGTAGATGCTTTGCCTGTTGTTAATTACGTTACTACACAGTTCAGAACAATATATATATCACGTCGCGTGGCAATACCTATTAAATTTTATAGAAGGGATAAGCTGAGTCATTTCATTAATTATTCTGTTTTAAATAATATATTACTAGGTGACCCGGCGAGCATCGTACCGCCTCAAAAAGTAAAGAAAATGCTACAGGTTACGTACTTAATAAAAACATCTTCCGTTTATAATAGAATTTGTGAATAATTCTCAATGAAATTTTTTCCTTATATATTGGCGTAAGTTGCAATAAATGTATAATTTGACCCATAGAACTAAAAGTAGATCCTAGATCATAAATACCTTAAAAGTTTATGTCATTTGGAACACACTGTTGGCTGCCGACCGATATTTTGACGCCTCACTGGTGGCATTTTCTGATCAATAATTATGAAGAACACGACAAAAAATCTCCAAACATAAATCAAAACACACGTAGGTTTACCGCTTTGCTGTTACAAAAGAAGCGGTGATTGTATTTGACACCCATGCCGTCAATCATGACAGTCAGCTTCATTTTCTATTGTGATATTTAAAAAGAATTTTCTGTGAATTTTTAGATAGCCAGTCACATATCATTAAAAGTGATTTGAAAAATGATTCTGTTGTCTTTTTACTGTTTCTTTTTTTCTACAAACCTTTTATATATAGATAGATAATGTTCTGAAAACCTATTTAAATAAAGATCCTATATCTTGGATTCATCGCAAACATTTCGTATGGAAATATTGAAAACATTCGTCTTTCAATATTTCCATACGAAAGATAATAATTTGTGTAATCTAGTTAACTGATTTTCTTTGAACCTTCATATTAAGTTTTGTACGCCGTCATCTGATCAATGCGTAGTACTTCTGCGTAAAGGTGTGGCAAAGCCACAATCGTCTCCTCGTCTACTTTCTCTATATCGACTTTTTAGTCATCCCTAATTTTAAAATGTTCGTAAAAGGCTTTTTTATTTAGTTTAAATTCAATTCCGTCAAGGCTGACATAAATAATTTTATTGTTAGTCCAGCAGAAATTTTGTAAGGCCCACTTACACCATAGTTATTAATTCAAATTTAAAAGCTAATCAGTTTTTTTTCTGTGGCTGTTTCCGTTTCACACCTAATCAGTTTTAAGCCGCATTCTATCTTTTTTTGACGTTTAACAACTGACAAAGATGGAACGATGTGCTAAACATGATTAAGCCTTAACTCGAGTAAAGAACTTTCGTGCCAGTGGACCTAAGAGAAACAACAATTTTCTTGTTATTTGTTTTATTCGGTACAATTTGCAAAGCTTAAAGTTAATTAAATTTCACGAAAACCCAATAGGGTTTCCTATGTCTACTGTAAAGTATGCAATATAAAGCTTATCGCTGGCGACTTATTATTAGAACCCCATTTACCATCGCAACTGTTAAGGCATTGCCCTTTACTTTGGACTCAATATAAATTAGTATGTACTAACAATCACTGAGCCGGGATTCAGAGTATAGGGGAATATTATGTTATACAATTATGTGAAATATGTTTTAAAGGCTTAGCAAATAACCTCACCCTACCAGATTTTATGTTAACAAGACCATTTCTACACAGGTCCAGGCACGGTTTTAAACCGAGTCTACGTCCGGTTGTCAGTTGAGTATGAGATATTATAGAGCTTTTGCTAAAGACACCTGCGCTAGCGACGGCTTGGGGTCGGTACAAACGTGCAAACAACACGCACAAGGGTCCATTTAAGGGACTAAGTGTGGAAACCTAAACCCCTAACATAGAACGTGCAAACCGTACACGTAGATAAGCTTAGCCGGCACCGGTCCGGGTAGAAACCGTGCCTGGACCCGGTGGAAAACTGGTCGTTAATAAGCGCTCTAAGGCCCGTATTATAGAAAGATTCTCAGTGATTAATCTAGTCTTGAACATAGTTAGAAAGGGATGTCGCTATATAGCACATGGCGCCATCCCTTTCTAACTATACTCAAGTAAAGATCAACACATAGTTGTCATTCTGCAATACGGGCCTAAGTGCAGACCATGCGCGAAGTAATGTACTTAGCAGATGCGGCAGAAAAATGTGTCGCCCCAACCATCCTCAACTTTCCAGCTTGAAAATAATCCGTATATTTTACTATTTACGCTGCGAAATCACCATCATAAGCCAGCACTTTCATAATTATTTCAAGTTGAAAATCACTTAAAATAATTAAAGTATAAAAGTGATGGCTTATTATCTTAGCTTTGTTTATAAAATGTAGGGGAAACTGCTATGTAGGTACATAGTCTATTTCTTTAGAAATATAAGTAAATACATCGTGAAATATGAATTGATAATTTCTTGACAAATAGGCAAAAAATATTAATGTTTACTCGCTACTATATAATCCCAGTACCGAGAACTAATTATAACATAATAAGCCGTAAGCTAGTTGTCGATGCGCAAAATGAAAAACGATATTTTTTTTAAGAACAGAAATTATTTTTCTAAGAACAGAAGTAAGTACATACCTACCGTAAAAGTATTCTCTATACTTGTATGTGTGAGTTAAATTGTTTTATTTCTTTAAATAAAAACCGGCAAAGTGCGTGTCGTGCCACGCGCAGTGAAGGGTTCCGTAGTCGTCTGTCGTTACCGCAATATATATGAGCAGAAATCTTTATACTCGTATTCTGTATCGGAAATGAAAAAAGAATAACTAATATGAAACTCTGTAACTCAACTAAAATACCTAAATCAAAGTCAAAGTGCGCCTCAAGCTCAAAATCAATTCGATATTTACTAGATCGATCAATTATTTTAAGTGCTTTATAAAAGTGTAATGATAGCGCGATTCAGAAGCGGCTGCTGTTAGTACTCGCGGTAGCTTTGTGCAACTAATGATTTTTTATCGTGGTTTTAAATATTTTTTTAGAGTTTCATTTTCAATGTAAGGTTTTACTCTACAGTAACTTGAAGGAATTTCGAGTAGGTAAGAAATTTTCTTTAACCACAGATGAACGACTATTACTGTTAAACTGAGAAATCTATTTTAACCCAACACATTTTCCTTAAAAGTTCATAAAAAGCACAATTATCATGAATTTTCCAAGTTTTTCAAGCCGATATTTTAGCTGTTCGAAAGGGGGGAGCGCCCTACTCGAACAAAAATTAGCACTTTAAAGTTCAATATTTCGCAAACGCATTCCCCTAAATCAAAAAAATCTTAGAACCCCCTCAGTAATTTTAATAAGGACCTATTCAACGATAGCCCACACGATGGGGTAGACAATGAAAAAAAACATCCCCAGATTAAATGTGTGGGAGTTACCCTAAAAACATTTTTTTTCTAATTTTTTTTCTACCATTTTGTCGGTGTGATTGATATACATATCTCCACAAAATTAGAGCTCTCTAGTGTAAACAGTCTCCAAGCAACACCGTGGACGGACAGACAGACGGACATGAAGAAACTATAAGGGTTACTTGCCAGGATTACGGAACCCTAAAAAGGGTTATGTTTTAATTGATTCTTTATCTACGTCATATATTGGTATCTTCCAACACTATGGATTTGTTAACCAGATACCATTTATTTGATATTTTACCAAATTAGGCCTTTACCGAGATATGACGAGGAAACTTCAGTGTATTTGACAAAGCAAACAAGTCCAACAGTTAGCTACTAGATTATGTAACCACTACAGCAAATAACAACATGTCAAAAACCATCCTTCAGTTACTTTCTAAGCCTTTATGTTTGTAACAGATCGATTGAATTTTTCATTGCAGATGACTTACATGGTTAACCAATTTCGCCGCCGTAGCCATATAGCCAATAGCCATTCCGCAGGCAGGATTGAATTTTTAAAAATTCCCTGATCGTATTAATATCCCCTTGAATGCAGCGCAGAGCGGAAATATAATTTGACTGGCAATTCATTGATTCGACTCCTGGCCTTTGCTGTGTGTTTGTCTTTGTTTGTTTGCGGTTGTGGTTGTTTGGGATTTTCACATCAATAATGTAAAAAATATATTTGTATCGTGGCAAAATGGGGATAACTCGTCATTTATTAATCACTACTTTAGCTTCTAGTGCGAATTTGATGACATTGGAAATTGTACTGAAACCATGAAGAATATTGTTATCTGTTTTAATATAATTGCATGTACAACATTGGTATGAAATATGTGTATATATGAAATAAAAAATAGTGTCAGAGTAAAACCGAGAAAACGAAGAAAAGATTAATACCTATTTATTTTATTTAATATAACTCTCATTTTTACTACTTGTATTACAGCCAGGCCAATGTAAATAAAGTATGTATTTATTTATCTACGTTATAGCCGCCATAGATGTTCAAGTAATTTGATCAAACAGGCTGTTTCAAACAGTTTGATGAAATAGAAATTAGAAAATTCATATTTCTTCATGCCAAATGGTTTTGATAAAATTTTCCCACATGTATTCATGCCAATTTGATCAAACTATTGGAACTTTCTTGTTTTAGATCAAGTACCGGGTCGTCTATAGCGGCCACTATAAAATGTACTTTGAAAATGTTGTTAAGTTACCAAAAAATTGGAATTAATGAGAGAGAGACGACTAATAAATTTAAAATGTTAGCTTATACTATTAATTTGGTCGATAACAATTATGATTTTCTCAATATATATCACCTATTGTATAATAATGATGCTATTAACGATATGTGTGCGCGCATTTACTTCTATGTGCGATATAATTATAGTATATTCCCATTTATTTCAATATTAAGTTTAAGGAAAGTACGCCCGTGTACATACATAAGACTGATGCAATGAAATAAAATTCTATGATTGTGTTTATTATGTTTTATTTTTTAGAACCCTGAATAAATGATAACTATTATAAATGTAATTTTTACAATTAAGTTTGTCTGCTTAATTTTAAATAGATTTCATAGAAAACTGTGGTCATGATACTTTTAATATCAGTAGACGGAATGATAGCTTCATACAAATATAATTTAACTTAAAGAACAATTTTACTCTCTGAACTAGGTGTAACCTACACGTTTTTATGTACTATATATACATAGTTTTATAATGACGGTTCTTTTCGAAATTGCTATAAGAATTAAATTATTGTAAATTTAAATATTCCAACCCCCCCCCTGAAAATATTAGGAATTTACCGGAAGCATTGTTAACATTAGGATTATTTACCGCAAAATATTCCCAATAATATTTCAATATTCTCGGTATGGAAACAATAAGTACTTACTAACAGATCTTACATCATTAAACCACATCAGTTTCCTTAATTAACCTGTTTGATGATAAACAAAATGTTAGGCAGCAAGAAGCAAGTAAGTGATATTCTGATATTAAATAGATTTTTAAATACTTATCACCCACCCACCAATCCAGACTGGACCCGTGCGCCATGGACACATGTTCCATTTACAGGGAAGGCCTATGTGGATTAAATGAATGATGGCCAATGGATCTTCTGATATTTTTCGGTAAACATTTTGTAGCAGATGACATTGTTTAAATTGTTTACCCTCGTGGCATTTAAATAGAATGTAATGTCAGTTGAATAGGAACCTAGGTTGAAAATCTATTACACATAAAGACTGATTCAGGAGCAAATGTTTTTGTGTATTAAATATAAAGTACCATAATAGATACAGCTGTAAAAAAAAAAAAACTTTTATCTCTCGCTTCGGTCTACTTAAACTAAAAGCGTTAAATGAATTATAGTTGACGACCACGAATAACCGTGGGTCACGGTTTGTCGTCATAGTGAAATTACCTTCGAAGAGATTACATCAGAGAAGAGAGTATTCATGATGAAATATCTAAAAAATTCTTTCAAAATATAAAACCACGCGAAAACCCCCGTAACTGCCCGTAAAATATATTCTACATTTATAGGGGGAATGGGATCAGCGGAGGCAACGCGAAAGGGACACTGTAATGTCGTAAGTTCGTTATTCTATGGCGGCTGTTTGCAACAGGGTTTGCCACTCTTGTTACTTTTAAAAAACCTAAAAAGTTTCTGAAATATAAAACTAAATCGGATCAAAGTAGAATATGACTTATCGGGTAGAAGTGGGTAGTGTTTGTTTTTGGCATCAGAATAACATTTGTGATGTGGATTCTGTATTTTTTTTTTAATCGGGTAACCACTGCGATGTCAGTAAGTATGAGTGGAGTCACGTTGCAAAGACAAACAGCTGATGTAGCATAAACAAGAGCAATATTTGAAAAAATACGTAAGGCATAGTGAGGAACTCGATGGCGCAAGTGGTTATCGCGTTCGGCTGCGATCATTGAAGTTAAGCAACTTTCGCAGTGGTCGGTCATTGGATGGGTGACCATAAAATTTACTATCGCTTGCTCCTCCGTGCTTCGGAAGGCACGTTAAGCTGTTGGTCCCGGCTGCATCTGTAGTCGTTAGCACCCACCAATCCGCACTGGGCCTGCGTGGTGGGTCATGGCCCAATCTCCCTATTCCATCGATAGGGAAGGCCTGTACCCCAGCAGTGGGGACATTAATAGGCTGGTGATGTGCTGATGTGAAGGCATAGTGGATATGCCACTTGTATAGGAATGACCAGCCTGGGAAAGTAAGCATCCTACAGAGGACCACTGTGAATTAACTTTACCTTTTGCTGCCATTGTGATTTTGTCGATAACTAAAGTTCCAGGGATTACGGCTTATAGAATATGGGGTCAGGATGGCGGAAGCGTCTATAGGTATAGTGGCCCTTTACCAAGAGAGGAGTTATATGCTTGTTTGCTAAACATGACATTTCTTTACCTCGTGATACTCTGGTAACTTTACTCTATACAGATATAACAGCACTATGAAATAATGTTTCTTATTTGGCTACAATCTTCATAAGGTTCTTTCTTCTTCCCCAGACGGGCGTTCTAGTTCGTGCGAAAATTTCGTTATTCGCTACCTCTCTGAAAAAAGTTGCCTGTGTTTCAAATATTAAATTAAATTATATTGTAGAAGTAAAGTTAAAATATCATTATGGTGATGTGAAGAGATGATAATTTAGATTAACATCTTCATGTTATTTTTGTAATCTGTAGGAAGGCCAAAGGGGAAGATCTTCCTCCGAGCTGGGTGATGTTAGCTCGGGGGCCGCGGCCCGACTGATGTTGGTCGGGCATCGTATATATGAAGAGTTAGCTTCCGAATTTCATTTGCGCGATGTAGGCTTCCATACTATTATTGATCGCAGTGCAGGTAACGCCATCTCTTGAGGGTGATGAGTAATGATTTCCTCCATCCGTTGTCTATATGTGGGGCATATAGATGTCGCCGCCACAAATCCATTAAAGAGTGTTCCCAAGTCTATACTTTTAAAGTAGCTAGTAGTTACTTTAGCAACAGGATTCTGGATAATTCATTTATTGAAATAATAAATAAAGCTTCCTTTAAGCTGGTGCATAAAATTTGCTAAGTAACATGCATAAAGTGACGCTAACAGAAGTATAGTTGCAGCGAGATTTTAGAGAACGCTTTGGTGATAAAAATTATTTTCTTTAAGCTTGGAAAACAAAATAATAGAAAAAATCTCCCCCTAAACACTGCTCTGGGAAATTGCGCCAGGCTATCATCTGCTGCCCAACTAAAATAGTCAAAGAGTCGAGTTGTCTCAGCGCCGCCGATGTGGGATCTGAAGAGGCACACGTAGACTCTGACCAAAGGACCTACATGGAGAAGGAGGGATCTTCGAGGCAGCTCAAACGGCGACTGCAAATACCCACCCGAACAGACAGTCATACGCCGGTTTTCGCTTTGAAAGGTCCTTCAAGCACGTAGCCGGGATAGTTACGGTAGCCTGTGTTAGCGGGTGGAAGTATTTGAGTCTCCCTCAGAAACTATAATACTGGCCGTTCTGTCTCAAGATGTTGGTGGTCAGCATTGAGGTTAGATTGGAATCTGCGTATATTACAGAACTCGACCTCAGCGTTGTTTTACGGGCTGTCATAATGGGAAAAAAGGCAGAGACGTAAATTGAGTGGAGTTTGTCGCGATTGTAGATTTTATAGGTCAGAGGTGGATCAGAGGAGCTGAATACAATACGGAATCACAGTGACGAATGATACTTATATTCTATGAAATATATTTTTCTAGGAAGCTGATACGACTAACTCCTAGCACAGCAGAATACAAATTAAATCAAGTTTATAATTGAAGTGAATGCGTGAATGATCGAATGAGTGGGGGTTGAACTAACAAATGAAGTATTTGAGTTAAGACTGAATGAATTAACATGTATACTTTGGCATTACTTAGTCACGTTACTTTCCTTTTATTACAAAATTAATACAAATTATTAAAATAGGTTAATTTTAGCCAATTTAAATTCAATGTAAAATTCAACATTGACAAAGTCAGGCAAATATGTGGAGGCACGTTTTCCCCAGTAACTGCTTAAGAAAGAGAAAAGCTGACCCACCAGACGGAACGGACAGGAAGGGCCCCCGCACCCCCCAGAAGTGGCCGCCAGGACCCCACGAGGTAGTGACCGGGTGAGTGAACGAATCCTCACGAATTGGTTAAGAACGTTTGGGCCCCTATACTGTGCCACGGGCGACCAGCGGGACAGCCGTTTCTACGGGTCTCCCTGGCCGATAGGTCGATGCAGTCGTCCCGGCATCGGTTGGACGGATACCTCCTCAGGACCGAACTGTCGCGGGTGACCCCGAAAAGTGCAAGAAGCACTTCACGGGTTTTACACCATGCGTACGGTGGTAACAAACCAGGCGAGTGTCAGGCACCCTACCACCACCAGAAGAGCGAATGGAAGCTCCGATATTCCTCAGTCGCTTCTTACGACAACCGCGGGAAGTGAAAGGGCGGTGACTAGTATTCTTTCTCCGGCAACGCGTGGATAACATCTCATCATCAATATATTTGACGCTTTGGCAACGAAAAATTGATAATTAAACATGTCATTTGCCAGTCAATACTTATGTATATAATTTTATATTATATACTTTTATGTAAAAAAATGGAGACAATCGTCCTGAAGCTCGCTCCGCACTCTATATCAAAAACTATTAATCGTATAAAAAAATGCTTCAAACAAAAATTGTAGAGAATTAAAGTGCAAATACATTACACTTAACCGCAAAAAGCGAGATATTTGCGAAAAACTGGTTTTGTGACTTTGAATATCTGAATAAGCCGTCACGAGATTATATGAGACTTTTGACACATCATTTAGAATGCCAAAACAAAGGTCCATATAAATTTCCAGCTTATTACATCTCATGCCGAGGTTGTCCCGCTTTTTTTGCCATTTATAAGAGTACTACAATATCAATATTATTACTGCGGCTTAAGCTTGCCATCAAATCGCAGTCGTTGCATCATCACTTAGCATTATGACTTCGTCCAGCCTAGCGTTTAGCGGAAATTGTACGAAGTTATATCATAATGCGGTCTACCGCATTATGATGATGATATAACTTAGATATCTATATCTACCCCTTTCCAGAGGTGACCTAAGGGGGTGGCGATCCAGGCAACTACCTCTCTCTTTCAGGTGCCTCCTCCCAACACGAGTAATCTTGATTCACCGTTATATTAAAAGTAGGCGTAAAACACATGGTACCTTCTACATTTCTAAGAAAAAAGCAGATTGTACAAAGGACCCTTAATCTCAAAATTGTTTCATCAAGATAACGGAACGAAGTTGGGACGGTGTGTGGAGGCGGATGGGGATCGACTTTTTTTTTAGATTTTTTCGTCACAATTTATATAATCAGCTATCTAGGCAGCTGCTATATGGGCAGCTAGTTTGGCGACCACTAACAGCGGCGGTGGCTGTAGTAAATTCATTGCAATATTTATCAAATCAATTGATATATTACGTGATTTATAATGCTTAACAATTCAGTAAAAAATATATAATTATGCGGCCCACGCTTTTTCCTTTATATATATATATATATATATATATATATATATATATATATATATATATATATATATAAATACATATGTTAAAATAAACTATAAATATAGCTAGCTCTAAGGCCCTAATCAAGTAAACAGAGAGTATATTTTGTTTATTTTTGGCTTTTTAGTGCAGTATATAAAAGCGTGTTTTTAGTTTTTTAAACTATTATTTTATTTCTCTTTAGTTTATTACAAATCATAGATAGAGTTAATTGCGATATTAAAATGAATGTAATGAGCCCAAACTCGATTGTTTTATTAGTAGGCAGTCCAGGGTTCCATTAGCCACTTTCCAGTCCCATCATCAGACCAGCTCGATGGTACCATAATATTGTATTGTCATCTAATCTACATATAATTGCCATGTTTTATTATGTTAAGACGAATCTCATGAGCCCAAACTCGATTTATTTACTAGTAGGCTGTCCAGGGTCCATCAGTCACCTTCTAGTCCATCATCAGGTCCTTGTCATCAGGAAAATAAACATAATATGTTAAGACGAATCTAATGAATACAAACTCTCTATGTTTACTAGTAGGCAGTCCAAGGTTCCATCAGCCACCTTCCAGTACCATCATCAGACCAGCTCGATGATACCATAATATTGTATTGTCATCTAATTTACATATAATTGCCAAAATTTTGTAATGCAGAATTATCTTTACGAATAAAGGCCATTGGACAAAAATGTATGGACGCTGCACCCACGTCCGTCACGGCTTAAAGTACATTTGTTTGAAAGGTATACTAGTAGTGGTCATTTGTGCAAAAGCGCAACAAATTCCATCCCGGGAGTCTTTAGTTATTTTATTTTTTATTATTTTAAATTGGTACGAGTACTAAAACGAACGAACATTAATGAAATAGAGGAGCATAATATCTGAGCCCTCTATGTAGGGGTAGTACTTTTCTATGTAGGTAGTACTTCACAAGATGCAAGGGTGGCCCCTTATGTTATTCTGCCGCGCTGGAGTGAATCCGAAAAACCCAACATGGGTTCGGGTTTTTTCAAACAGTCTGTTCGTTAAAGTAAATTGTCTTCTATGTAAAACGGAGCTACCACAAATCACACAAACTTGTCCACGCTTCGGAGAAAACATGATTCCAGTTCATCCATGCTAATTTACAAAAACCGATACTCGTGTTTCAATGTCCAAAGCGTGTTAGAAAATATCAATCAATTGACATGGAGTGCACAATCACAACGAAGTAAGACGAGTCGACTTTTTGTAACTGCAAGTCCTTCAACCCCCGTAAACCGTTTTGAGGTGTAGGCGCAGGATGGTCGGCAGGCTTTGTCGTATATCTGGGTGTATAGTACGATATTTATTTATTATGGCATATTATTATGGTTACTAATAATATAAAGTGAAGGTAATATATAATGAATTTATTTAGCTACTTAAATATTCCCATGTGTCATGTCGTTTGACTACTACGATATTTTTTACGGTGTCATATCTTTTGACTACCAGCATATTTTTTTACGGTGTCATAATAAAAAATGCTAGTTTTTCATAGATCTATCGATTCATACTAATTTTATTGTCGGCGGAGCTGGGTGTGTTTTGCACATTGTCCTTTTAATATCCAAAATAATTAAAAAGCAGAACCATCATATAGGTATATCGCAGAAAGTTTACAATCAAAATGGTCTTTAGGCATACAAAATTTTAACTTTTCCTTGTTTCATCTTAAAAGTATGCTATTGTGTATTCGGACATTTATAAACATTGGGCCAATTATGATTAAAATTAATAGATAATAAGCTTTACGAAAATTTGTTTAAAGAAGATTATGCCTAGTGTGTTCTGCCAACAAGATTCTGCTAGATAGAGGGAGCCCCTTTATAACGCTTAAAGATTGTCGTAGTATAAAATCACAATCTATCAATTTAAGTCCTGAAATCAATCATGTTTGGCGGTAATGGTAGAGCTCCTGGTTACCACAAAATATTAAAGTGTTAACGTACGTTTTTCCCTCAGAGTGAAAGATCAAAAAATAAGTACGTTTTCCAGTTTCGTTCGTTGGAAATACGATAGTGCTAATAAGTGGTAAGTATTCTCGAGAATTAATAATTATTAAGTCACCCCCCGTGCTATAAAATATAACAATATACTAGCTGTCCCAGCGAACTTCGTACCGCCATAATAAAATAGGGGTTGCTGGTAGAAGGGTGAAAATTTAAGGTTGTATGATGTATCATAAAAAAAATAAAAAGCAATAATTTTGTCCATAAACAAAATTTAACCACCCATAACATTTATGGGGATGAAAAATAGATATTATCCGATTGTCAGACCTACTGAATATGCATATAAAATTTCGCGAATCGAAATTCGCGAAATTTTATATGCAAGTCAAGCCGTTTCGTAGTTCAGTTACGCACACGAGAATTTTATATGTATACTAGCTGACTTCGTACCGCCATAAAAACAAAAGGTGAATTGAGATTGAGGTAATCGCAACGTGCATCCACGCGATTGGCGAGTGCACGTTCGGAGTCTTCGCCACCCATAAAGAAAAATTTATGAGATTCGTTTGGCATTGGCAGCAATGAGCCCACTTTGTGATAAATTTGGCCTTTGATTTTGAACGTGGAATTAAATTGTTGACCGTTTGCAGCAATATTGTTAACTATTTCTGTTGCTCCAAACGACGTCATTTGAAAACATGAATTGAATGTGCGAATTGCCTTTAGGAAAAGGCTAGAATCTGGATCTGTACCGATAAGTAAACCGTGTAATGGTTCAGGTGGTGTTTCAGTTTCGGTTAGTTGTACTTTTCCTGATGAGCAACACATCCCAACTGGCTCATTTTTAAATTTAAGTGCATGACAATGCGGGCAGTCCTTGTCCAAAGAACCAATAACCACTTTGGAATGGGCGTAATATTCAACATCAGACTCATATTGGAATGCTAGTCGAAGAAATGAATCTGATGTAAATGCTCGAAGAACTCGTTGGCGTTGTTGGTTAATGCCTCTACGTCTGTTTACTATGAATCTGCGCGTTTCTCTTCGTTCTAATTGTCTTTGTTGATTTCGTTCATCTCGCGCCTCTTGCGATAGTGATTCACGTAACTGCGCCATGCTTGCACACACATCTGTATTATTTTGTTGGATTTGTTCGCCAGACCTTCGTGCTCGTATATCTCGCATGACTGTTGAATTGGTTGTTCTACGACTCAAATTGACCCCTTTACGTCTTTTTGGCATTGCTGATTGTACATAGAACATGGAGCACCCCCACTAGAGTCCGCATCACACAAATTTTGTTTGGAATCAAAATCGCTAAAGTCGGTGGGGTGCAGGGAGGTCAGCCCCGCTGTGATTGGACGCGTCAAGGTCAGATCATATACTCAGTGCAGCGAAGTGATGGGAAAAAATATGGATATTTTCTAACGATAAACAATTTAGAATAGAGGCCTAGCACTTTGGTGCGCAAATGCGTAATCATACCCTCTCCACTTTCTTCCAACGTTCTAATTACATGACGCGACTAGTAACTACATACTAAATTATATATAAGCAACACAAAAAAAACACGTCCAGGACAAGAAGTATTAATGCAACGATATTAACTACCCTAGATACAACAACACGAACAAAATCGTGGTCGAAACGTGTCCAAAAGGTACATTGGACGATCCACGGAGGTCTGTAAGATGATCGCGTGGTCAAAAACAATATAATGCCTTATTTAAACATTGAAAGTCACCTTTAATGCATACGGCATAAGGTCTTAATTAAAATGCATGCGTCAAGTTCGTAAAATTTTACGATTTATTGTTATATATGTGAAAGAATATAGACCTTATTTTTTTTGACTTTTCACTCGCAATTCTGAATGCGCTGTTAGCAATATAGCAAGTACAGACCGCGAAGAAAAGAGATGGCTAAGGGCGACGTATAACCGACCATGCATTTGAATATCACAAATATTTTAAATTAAATCAGTTTATAGTAAGTATTACGACAATAAAATTTGCTTTAAAGGCGTTAATTAAAAAACATTAATTAGATACCTGTCGAAAAAACGACACTTTACGTACTATTAGTATATTTCTGTATTTTTTCACGGAACTCTTTGGCATCTTGACTTTTCAACGGTCCGCGTGTGACTGTGTACTAAGAAGTGCTTGAGTGGAGTTCAAGCACTTCTTGATTGGGACACATTTTGAGCGCTCGTGGTGTATCTAGGGTATTTAATATCGTTAATTCTATGTCTTTATCTAGGTCATAAACTATGCGCACTTAATTTCATACAAATCCGTTTAACCGTTTTAGCGTGAAAGAGTAACAAATATGCATACAAATTTCGTTGCGTATGCGTTTTTTCAATTTTATTAATATGTTTGAAGTCAAATAAAAACTGTTGGTTGTATACTTATGACATCTATTATTGTATACGATGAAATAAATAGTTTTTATTTATTTTTTCCATTTCCATAGCTGACAAACTTATCGATAAACTTACGCGTTGAGGCATGAGCTGCGTCTGAGTCACTAGCAATACACGTGCCGGTGTGAGAGCGAGATAGCATATATGATGTAGCCCATGCGAGAAAGGGATAGTATAAAAAGACATCAACGCGTTCACCAAAAAATAAATACAATTAACAGCAATTTAATATAACAGTATTTTTGTCTTTTTGTAATGCATTTAAACTAACCAGTGAAAAGTAATACCATTTTTTTGAAGACTGGAAGTTGTACTCGACTTTCCACACAATTTAATTGCACAGTACGGCATTTTTTACAGTTTTTTAACACGAAAACGAGAGAAGCAGTTCGATCAACGCTCGGTTACCGAATGAAACGATGTATCGCGACGTCTGTAGGCGTGCCTCACGCATAGGTAAAATACTACTTAAGCTTAGCGTAAGCGCTTGCCCTTGTATCTAGTGGGGGTGCTCCGTGACATAGAACATATAAATAAATGAAGTTAAAATACTTACACAGATAGAAAGATTTTTTTATATTTGATAAGCTTTATCAACTGTTAATAAATAATTATTCAACATCAAATGAATATTTAATAATAGGTAATAAATTATTTAATACGATACATACGAAATACGATTTATTTAATGTTACATTAACTATTAATAAATGTACTTTATTCCCAAATAAATATTTATTGAATGTAAAAAAATATATATTAAAGTTGTCTTCAAAGAAATTAAAATATTAATAATTATTAAATCCTTTCATCAGTGTATTGGTAAAAAACAGTGACTTAATATATGTATGATAAGATATGTATTTTCAAAATATCTGTATTTTTTCTGGTAATAAATTATTATTATATTGTATTCATTTGTTTATTATTTAACTTACCTTTCACAATAATGAAAAAGGTATATTTATTAAACTCGTAAACGCTTTCGTTTTGATTTAAAACTATTTTCAAAAAGCGTTAAGTACAATATCTACTGGTACAGTAATGGCCGTTGTTGGCGGGAGATTTATATGAGATCACTTAATTAACTAATAGTTAAAACTTTCTTTATCAGTTATTAATAAAATGTGAAAAAGTAATTATTGCACTGGAAATTAATAATAAATTGACGATGAGAGTAAAATTCACGTAATAGATGCACAGAAAAATTAAAATAATACGTATAAGTCACTACTACGATCGATACACAAAAGAAACCAAAAAAAAATGGCCGAAAACTGTATATTGAGGAAGACAGGAGACCGGCTTCCTTCTCATCCCTACTCCGTGCTGTTTGCTGGATGAGAGGTGACCCAGGTTGACATCTAGCGGGGATAATTGATCGATTGATCGTTGATCGGTTATCGACCGGTGAAATCGAATTGAGAAAAAAAAAGAAATTATTAAAAAAAAAACCAATGGTAAAATAGGGGTTGATTATAAAGGGTTGAAAATTCAGGGTTATATGTAACTAATGCTGTATCATAAAAAAATAAAAAATATATCTAAAATAGAAAAAAAATGTTTAGGGGTGGATTACCCTTAACATTTAGGGGAATAAAAAATAGATGTTGTCCGATTCTCAGGCCTACCCAATATGCACACAAAATTTCATGAGAATCGGGAAAGCCGTTTCGGAGGAGTTTAACCACAAACACCGCGACACGAGAATTTTATATATTAGATTAAATTGCATCGATTCTATTTTTCAATTGCATTGCGTATTGAAAAAGTTCTTTTGTTTTTACATTAGGGAATGAAATATTTATATGAATATATTATGCTAAGTGACCCGAAATAAACTCGAATACTTTGCAATATTAAGATTAACATGACGTCCATTATTACTAACATTTAGAAAAAATATTTCAAGCAGTTGTAGTTTTGATTAGTCTCATTTTCAATAACTCGATACGTTCACTTAAGATCCTAAAAAGATTATTGTATTAAGTCCATAGTCATGTTACCAAACGTATATTATAGTGTGGATTATGTACATAGTAACTTTTAAGTAATCTGTGATACTGTGCACAAATAATATACCTAGTGTTGTAAACTCAATAACAATTATAATTTTTATTTTATTGATTTAGTTTCGTGAATAATTTATTTTTGAAGTGGGTATTATAGATATTTTTTTGTGATATAACTTCCGGAAAATGTAACAGCCAATCAGAAGCTTTGCCGCGCTTTTTAGTCGACTCAACCTCTCGCCCCACCCATGAGAGATAGTGGTGGTCTATAGGGCGACTCGGAGCTTCATTTGACTGCGGACATCAAAACAGTATACTATTATGAAAAAACACTGACGTACATTATTTTCATTATTTTAAATTTCATATTTCTGTGTGTTCATTATTGCAAGAGATCCTGCAACACCTGTCAATGTGAAATATGATACTTATCCTTATTTGGACTTACATTTAGAGTCTGTTAACAATTATTTTTTGAAAGCTTAACTGTTGTTTCCCTAGACGCAAGAGTGACAATAATTAATAAAACTATTTTATTTTTTCTAATAAAATCACCTTAAATTGTTACCAATCTTAAATTATATTGTAATTTTATAAAATTTTAAATTAATATTTATATACTTTCATTATAATTTGCAATGCTCTTGCATGGCTCATGTTTGCGAGCTGTTATTAGATTTAGATTAAGAACTAAATGTAACCAACATGAAGTTTTTTGAACCATAAGTAATAGTTACACAGTTATTTTTCAGAGGATTCGTAATACTGCTTTAATAATAAATTATTAAAATGATGTAAAATTTTATAATAAACAAAGATCAAGATCATCAAATATGATAAGTTTTGGTAACGTGATTATTCGGAAGTTTTTTAAAATTTATAACAAACTTTGGCGTTTGCAACGTCAATGAAAGGCGGCAGTTTGCTGTGGACTGATTTCTTTATTCATATAATAGCTACCTACTACAATAATTATTAATCCTTAACTACCCAACACCTTCCCCTCGTAACATGACGTAAAAACTAGGTTTATTTGTATTACATTTACTTTTTACACAAAGCTCGATTAAAGGCACGAACCGCTCGTGCGGATGCATCCGGCGGAAGTGGCGAGGGCGACTGAGGTTCAGGGACTTCAGTTTCATATTCTTCTCTCTGCCCTTCTCCCCCCCTCCCCCGCTCGTCTTCCATTCCACCGGAAGCATCCTCAAATTGCTCCTCGTCCTTTGGAGTATTTTCTGCTGATGCAGATTTTTCTTGAGAAGATACAATATTCGCTCTTGTTAATGATAATCTAGATTTGTGACTAAATGGAATAATTTGATCGTGGTGTCAACGCCACATCAGCCCATTACCCATATTAACTTTATACGACACAGGTCCTGTTTTTTTTATTATTGTACCCTCCGTCCACTTATGCCCTCTGGCCGAATAGTCACGCGCGAGTACTGTATCTCCAATATCAAACTCCTTAGTTTTACCTCCCGTATTAACCATCTGACTGTTTTGAGCTGAACGAACCACCTCAGCTAAATTTGGACGAAGAGCATCGAGACGATTGCGCAAGCGTCTACCTAATAGCAATTCGGCCGGCGACAATTTAGTAGTTGTCACCCGACTGGATCGCTCTTTTTATTGCCTTTTTTACAATTTTCACTGCGTTCTCAGCCGCACCATTTCCTTGTGGTCTATATGGAGCACTTGTAGTGTGCCGAATACAATTATTTTTACAATAGTTATTAAATTGAAAAGAGGAGAATGGTGGGCCGTTGTCTGTTACAAGCTGTGCAGGTAAGCCGAACCTACCAAAAACTGTCATGAAAGCCGAAATAGTCGTTTCCGCATCTGTACGAGACATCGGGAGAACCTCAATCCACTTCGAATGAGCGTCAACAATAATAAGGTAACGTTTACCTGCGAAATCAGCGTGGATGCGCTCCCACGGCCTTGAAGGGAATTCCCATGGATGCAGCTCGGCGCGCGGTGGACTGTCACGGACTGAGCGACACGGTTCACAGTTGCGGCACACCTGTTCGATATCACGGTCTATGTTTGGCCAGTACACATAGTTGCGGGCTATATTTTTCATTTTGTTAACACCCAGGTGACCCATGTGAATTTCCTCCAATATACATTTACGCAAAATACTAGGTATAACAATTCTATATTTGTAGATTAAACAACCGAGATCTACAATTAAATCGTTTTTACGCAATAAGAATTCTCGTCCCCATTTAGTCCCGATAGTGAAGACGGCCAACCAAACTTTACAAAACCTATAATATTACTTAAAATTTTATCTTTCTTAGTATGATTGCAAACATCGTTAAAATCAATCGGTAGAGTATCTTTGACAAAATTAACATAGTTACAAGGGTTAGAGGGTCGGCGCTCGAGCGACAGCGGTAACCGTGACAAGGCGTCAGCCGGACCGTTTTGTTCCGACTTAACAAACTTTACTGAGAATTCGTAGGCAGATAGTCTCGTCGCCCAGCGCTGTAATCTACTAGCCGCGGTCTGGGGGAGTCCTGCTTTATCGCCAAAAATGTGACTCAAGGGTTGGTGATCCGTACGCAATTCAAATCGTCTACCAAACAAATACTGATGGTGTCTTGTTACCCCATAAAATATAGCGAGTGCCTCTTTGTCGAATTGACTGTAATTTTTTTCCGCGTCGTTTAAAGTGCGCGACACGCAGCTGACGGGCCGCTCGGAGCCGTCCGGGTACCTGTGCGCGAGCACCGCCCCTATGCCATACGCGCTGCTATCCACCGACAGCACGAGGGGGCGCCCCTCTTCGTAATGTGCTAACGTCCTCTTCTTCTTCTCGCGCGTCGCCGGCGCCGCGACGTGCGGGGAAACTGTTCTGGGCGTAGTGCCCACCTCAGTTGCTGCGGGTTTCGCGTCCCGTCTACGGACGGGACGGTCGTCGGGGTCCGTCCTCCCCCACTCTTCACGCACCGCCCTCGGCGCGGTCAAGCCCACCGGGTGAGACCCGTTAGGGAGGCCCAGTGAGCGGGCGGTCGACTTAGGTGGGATGGGATAGGACAGTCAACTTAGTCAGTCGTGGGCAAAGATTTTATATATATATATTTCTTTTGAAGTTATACTTCTTTAGGCGCGTCATGAAAAAATGATGAGAGTGAAATTTTAAGATGCGCGCGCATCACGAATGTTTAATGGTCGCTTTAGCGACCAACTTCATGCTGTTACTTTTGTGTTTACCGCACATTAAGAAAATCTACCAACAAAATAGAAATAGAATCTCTATTTAGTGGGTGCTAACGACTGCATTGTGAAGGCCTATCAAAAGTATTTATTAATCTGGAACAACGGAACCAAAGCGCGATTCAGGAGACTACAGCGCCATCTCTTGACCATTGGTGTAGTAGAACCAAAAACCACATCTTTATTTTTTGTAATAAAGTAACAGTTATAGGTATTCATATTTATAATATTTATCCACATGTTTCTAGTTTGTATATTCGGAATACGTGTCTGAGTTTCATACAAGTGCAAATCACATATGTTCTAATAAATTATATTCAGTAGCGATTTTAATTGAATATTTTGATTATTTATTTATTTTTTCAAATTAAAACTGAACTTTATTGACTGTGTCCTTTTCCAGACTTTTTATTAATTTATTGTAATTAATTATTTGCATGCAATTAAAAACTAATTTTAAACGATACCAAAGAAGGATAACTTCTCACGCGCCTACATAAGTACACGCACCCATTTTTTTTTCTTTTTTATATACTGTTTTTTACTTTTTTTATATTTTGTATTATTTTTTTTTATTTGCCATCTTTTATGTTTTTTTTTTTTTTTTTTTTGCTGTCAAGTCGGGTGTCAGTACGTCAAAATCGGGTTGTGTGTTCGCGCCCGCGCCGTGCGGGCCCCCGTTGTCAGTCTGGTGGTGGGGGTTCGACCGCGCGCGGTGCGCGAGAACCCGATGTGGCTTCTTCGGAGTCCGGGATGAGCTCCCTTGGCAGCCCTCTGCTGCTGTGCGTTCGAAAGCGGTCCTGGGCGGGCGCTAAGTCGCGCAGGTGCGCGTGCTCCGACCGGTCCGCTCGATCGAACATACTGCTGGCTAATCTGTGTATAAAATCATCTACAGTTTCAATTTTCAAGTCTCTTGTTAGAGTTGTGTTGCGCACGTATCTGCCTGCGTCTGTTATTGCGCGCAGTGCGAGATTCTGCTGGGCACGA